CACTCGTGGTTGCTCGCAGGCACCAGGGCAGTTTTGAAGTTGCAGGAGCACGGCGTATGCCAGGGGCAGCAAGCAGCCGCCGTGGCTGGGCCGAGCGAGTCGAGGATGAGGGCCTGGACGAAGACGGGGGGCAGGCCCGTGATGCAGATGTCGCTGTCCCGCCTTTCCAGGGTGACAGGCACTTCAGCCAGGGCAAGAGCGGCGCGGCTGTCGAAGGGCATGTGGATCCCTCTGCATCTGTGGGTTTCGACCTGGAGGCCAGCCACTTTGGCGAGCCAGGGGAGGGCGATGGCCGCACGTAGCGCCTGGCCCGTGGATGCGAGAAGAGCCGCTAGGTCGTCAACGTATGTGGGGCTGGCGTCTCCGGTAATGGTGGCGTCGGCTTCTATCAGCGGGTATTGAACCCTTGATTGACGGCCTTGAGACTTCATCTTGAACCCTTGATTGACGGCCTGCAAGACCCGGCAAGCGCCCTGCTGGAGGCCAGCAACTGCAACATATCCGCCGCTGTGCTTTTGTCCCAGGACGCGAGGGAGGTCCCAGGTTCTCCTCCCCCCCTCCCTGGAGGGTGAACCATAGGGGGGGCTGGTTCAGGGGTGGGAACAATGTCCTGGAATCGGCGATGCATCGCCGATCAATCGGCGACAGGCCCCCGATAGCGGAACCACACGTCAGGCCACGAGGGGGCTATATCAGGTCCCTCTCGGTGATCGATGGGCGATTGGGGGGGCCGAAGCGTCCCCCCCATCCTATCCCCCCCCCTTCCCCGGGAGTTGCCCCCCGGCTTTCGGCTAATAACTCAGCTCTCCAGCGGCCGTTCGGGACGAATCGGGCAACCCCAGGACGCTCTCGGCAGGGCGCAGCCGCAGGAAAACTCACCGAGGCTGGAAACCTGACGAGAACCTTAGAGAACGTCCGAAAGCCTCGGGGCTGGAATCGTCCCAAACTATGTGCTGCGAGTTCATTTCGCTTTCGTCTTGAAGCCTCTGGGCACAAAACGGTCATATCGATTGCCCAATACAATGTTTTGGCCCAAATCTGGAGTCGTTACTGGGCAATTGTGGGCCCTACTGGGCCCTATAATGAAAACTGCGACTTAAGATAGAAAGAGTGCCAGAGCGAAGAAAGCTGGTGCACAAGGCGCGCAAGGGGGGTCGTGTGCAAGGGGGTCCGTGCCTATCGTGCTTATTCTGCGCCTCCTCCTCCTCCTCCTGCATAATCGCGCGCGCGCGGATCCAACACCAAGGACATGCGCAAGAGCCCCGCACAAGGCGCACAATGCCCCCCGCACAAGACCTCCCCACAAGACTCGCACGAGTACCACCTCTGTTCAGGATTCAGAATACGAGCAGAAGACGAGCACGAGCCTCGAGCCTCCCCGCGCCTGCAGCCCTGGGCCGACGGAGGACGGGCCAGCCGACGGCAGCCGACCCAGGAGCCCTCCCCCCCCCACACCTTGGGCGGTGCTTAGTGGGGGGCGCGATCAGGAGGGGGGGCGAGGAGACGTGCGCCCTTCGTGCCCCTCTTGGGCCCCGGAGGGTCCCTTTCAGGGCCCGTGACGTGCATCATCCCCTGAAAGCACCCGTCACATAAGCTTTGGCGCACTGGACCGATGGGTTGGTGGTTTGAGTGTGCCTCGAGTTGTGCTTCTAGAGCTTTGTGTTTCTCCAAACCCTGTTGGGTTAGGCCGCCCCTGGGATCTCCGAGGCACTACAAGCGTTGGTACCTCTGCCAGGGGAAGGGGCCGTCAGGAGAGAAGGTCGGTAATGGCTCCACTTGGCCTGTTCCGATCTTCGTTCGAGTCGATCGTTGAGCGTTCGACGGTCTGTGTGTATCTGTTCTTCAGGCTTGGTGCTTCGTTCTCGGCACACCTCGTCGTCCTCATCCAGAGTCTCCCCTCCTCTCCTCCTCTCCTCCTCCCTCCTCCTCCTCCTCCCTCCTCCCTTCCTCCTCCCTCCTCCTCCTCCTCCTCCTCCTCCTCCTCCTCCTCCTCCTCCTCCTCCTCCTCCTCCTCCTCCTCCTCCTCCTCCTCCTCCTCCTCCTCCTCCTCACGTCCCCCCCTACCCCACCCCGGGGGAGCCTCGGCGAGCATCTCCACCGCCGACGCGATCATGGTTTCGGGGAGGCGTCGGCGGACGGGGGCACAGCAGGGCAGGGGGGCTGAGGAGGGGAAGGACGACGACGAGACGACGACGACGAGCAGGAGGACGACGACGAGGAGGAAGAGGAGGGGGGACGAGGATAAGGACCTCCCCGAGGACTGGCGCTTCGTCCTCTGAGCTGCGCTTGACGACCCCGGGGAGGGGAAGATCCCTGGAAGCCTGAAGACTCGAAACGCGTCAAGACACGGCTATCTCAGGCCCTCCTTCTCCCCACGGCGGTCCGTCTGCCCTGCGGGGCCCCCGTCAGCCGAGGATCCGAGAACTCTGGTAAGCGGTAAGTAGTAGTAGTTGAATCGCTGGGTAAGCGTGAACGTTCGGTGCGTGTGAAAGGGTTCAGCACACTTGGGCCAAAAATGGCGGCGCGCGCGGGGTCGGGTGCACCGATGCACGTCTGCGGGCGAGGGGGGGACAGGGGACGTACCCATCGGTCAGAAGAGGCATGTAGAAACATGAAGTAGGAAGGCGTTGAAAGTAGATTGGGTGCCCGCCCGCCACCTCAAGAGGGAGGAGAAGGGGAAGCCAATCCGTGAAGTAGGAAGGCGCCTAAAGTAGATTGGGACCTGGGACTCCAAAAGCACCTGCTCTCAACGACCGAAGGGTATTGAAAGAGAAGCGGGGGCCGTGGAAGCTGGGAGACTGCGTGCCCCGGACAGGATGTCCACCCCTCCGTCCTCACCCCGCTCTTCGACGCTCCACAGACTCTGGGGGCCGTCCTCATCATCATCCTCTCCGTGAGAAATTGAGAACGGCAGGTCTGTGTCGTGTCGACCCCGGGCGCTGGTTCCTGACACCGCGGGAATCGCTCAACCTTGAACGATCGGCCGCTTCAGAAACGCCGAATAGTTCAAAGGTGGGCCGACTCTGGGTCGCCAGCGGCGTTCAAAGTTGAACGCCGGCGGCGGGGTCGCCGCCAATCGACACGACGCGGGCCTGCCGTACCCTCCGCCCCGCTCCTCGCTCCTCCTCGGAGCACGCCCCCGATGCGCTTATCCATCTCCTTATCCTGCTTCCCCACTTCCAGGTGGCGACGACAGAGCCCTGCCCCGGCCGCCCATCGAGTTGGCCGAATCGTTGAGCGGTGGAGGTGAGCTACCCAGATTTCGCCGCCGACTTTCCTCACCAGCATCCCCCCAAGTCCCCCCCTCCTCTCCTCCACCTCCCTCTCCCCCTACGCCACCTGCTCATCCTCCGCTTCTACCCTCTCTCCCGTCTCCTTCTCCTCCTCGTCCTCCTCCTCTTCCTCCTCCTCCAACCTCCAACCTCCACCCTCCTCCCTTCTGCTTCTCCTTCCTCCACGCTTTCACATCTCAAGAAACAACCGAAGAGAAACCTCAACAATCCTTTGGATACAAAGGAGGGTCCTGAGGGAAACGGGTTCTGGACTCTGGGGCTTACCCCTCAAACCAACTAGCTTTTCATCCCGAGTCGCCTCTTGACGGTCCTGGGGCCAGTGAGGGCCCCGGGAGTCGGAAAACGGCGCGAAAATCCTCAGGACCCCTTCCCCTCAGAACCTTTTTTGGAGACCTCCCAAAAAGGGGCCAAAACACATGGGGTCGGAGGATCGCACCGCATCGCCGCTGCACTGGGATGCATCGGCGACGTCGGAAAGAGAAAATCTGACGCTGGATCGAGCCACATCGCCGATGCATCGGTGATGCAGTGATGCAGCGCGATTCTCAGACCGACACCATCTAGTCTGGCCCCGTTTGGTGGGCCTGGACGTAGGCTGCATGGCGGAAGCCTCGGTAGTCAAAATCGAATCGAATAGACCGCAGTGGCCCTCCGAACGCTTATGTTGAGGTCGCCTTTCCACAAACAATGCTTGCACAAGGGTCCTTACTTCGGTTACCGAAAGAAAAAGACGGGTCGGGGATCTACTGACCCGGGTCAATGCAAATCCCGGTCAGTCGAACTGTGCATGACCCTGCAACATCCTGCAGGATCCAACGCGCTAACCCTGGTCAGTGCACCTCTGGCTCGCCTCCAGGAAGGCCCGAAGAGGTCCATATCATTGATTGTCCTTAGCTTTTGTTCAGATCGCCCCAAGATCGACCAAAAGGCCTCCAAGATAGCCCAAGAACAGCACAAGAGGCTCCCTAAGACGGCCACAAGAGGGCCCCAAGGCGGCCCAAGAGGCCTCCAAGACGCTCAAGAAGGCCTCCAAGACGGCCCTGGAGCAATCCAAGAGGGCGCTAAGTCGGACCAGAGAGGCCCCCAAGACGGCTTCCGATGAAGTCAGACGGGTCAGGAATGCCGTAAGACGTCCAAAGAGGCCCCTGAGAAACCCCCAAAGGCCACCAAGAGAGGCTCAAGGAGGCCACGAAGAGGGCCTCCAAGAGACTACCACGAAGCTCCCAGGAGGCCCCAAGAGAGCCCCCAGAGGCTTCCAAGACGCCCCCTCCTCCTCCTCCGCCTCCGCCTCCTCTTCTTCCTCCTCCTCCTCCTCCTCCTCCTCCTCCTCTTGGTCTTCCCCGCCATCATCCCCCAAGTGTTGCCCGAAGGGTTTCCACAACGGCTGGGGGAACACAGGGTCCGATAACTTGGCAGAGCTCTTGCCACATGCTCGGCCACACTGGTGATTCCATAAGGCAGGGGGCGGTGGTGATTCGCCGTGGGCGTCTTCGATACGTGCACGTATACAAGCTACACTGATTATGTGCACATCCAGACGGCAGTGACCAAGAGATTAGGGGGGACACGCTGGCAAGCGCTTCTCCGAGGACGTCGAATCGGGCCGATCGGATCGACGTTGGACGCCGCGGTGGCCCCGCGCGGGGCGCCTGGCAACCGCAGGGGAGGCAATCGCTGCGGGCGCAACGCGAGCACGGCCCGGCCTCTTTACCATCACCGCTCCTTCGCGCCGCCTCCGCGCGACCGCGGTCGGAACGGCCCGGCTCTGCGGAGGCAGGAAGAACAGCACAGACATAAGCTGTCGGTGCGAGGCGGGGATTTATTGGTATCCAACGCCTGGGAATCGACGCCCTGGGGACCCAGCAGGCGGTGGATATCTATATCCGCCGATCCGGCGTGTGAGTTTCAAGGAGTCTCAGCTACAGCCTCGAGGCTGAGCCTCAACCTCTGGGGGGGTTGCCGGGGTGGCTCTGCCGGAGAAGGGGGGGTGGGGGGGGGGGCGAGTTTCCGGCGGATGCGGGGTGGGAGCGTTTTTTGACACCCCTCACAAGGATCGTGGCCTCAGAGGGGGTTCCGAACTCGAGTACCACCCCTCCCGAACCAAGAAGCTCCGAAGAGGCCTCCAAGAGGCCCCAAAGGGCCCAGAAGAGGCCCCCAAGAAGCCCCAAGAGACCCCCAAGACACCCCCCAAGAGGCTCCCAAGTGGCCCCAAGAGGCCCAAGAGGCCCCCAAGAAGCCCCAAGAGGCCCCCAAGAGGCCCCCAGAGGTCCCAGCCAACCACGAGATCACAACCAGCGTCCATGAGGCCTCTGACCCACCACCCACGCACGGTGGCGGGATAGGCCGAAGGCCAATGGATAAATGCGGACTGAGAGGGGGAAGGAAGGGAAAAGAGAGGAGGGACGAGGGCGAAGGATGATCGCATCAGTCCGAGCACCCCGGATCGGCGGCACTGGCCGAAGGCCACTACAATATTTGTGCCCATGGGGGCCAACATATATCCATATCCACCGCCTGTCGAGGTCTCCGACAAACGATCCTCCAGGCGGTGGTTATGCATGAATCCCCGCCTCGGAGATGGGGTCCGCGCGGATTTCTTGGACCGAGGCTGGACCCACTGGCGGCGCCTCCGGCGCCGCCCCTGGCGCGCTCCGCGCGCCATGGTGGGGGGGGGCACGGCGCAGATCGAAGAAACCCGCGTGGATGTCCGACAGTTTCTGTTCATGAAGTTGTTCCTGTCCCGATCTCCGGCGGGCGAAGAGCGGCAACATACATGACTTGTTCCGCCGTCGGGGACGCCTCGCGCCAAGATTAGCTGGGAAATTGTGGTCGGGCAAGATCAGTCAGCATCGACTCGGGACATCGGATCAGATCGGACTGTGCATCGAACGGGGCTGCGTCGGCACCGAGTCGGCGCCAGACAGCGCCACGCAGGCATCGGGCCGCCTCGCATCGGTGGAACCTCGGAATCGAGTCGCATCGGGCCAGCCGCAATCGATCACGATTCGGACCGATCGTGCTGAGATGGACCCTGCCCTGGGACAGGCCGAGGGGCAACGGTGAGGATGGACTGGCTCCAGGGGGGGGCACATCGACCCCGCATCGGCGATACCTCGCCGAGGGCTCGGCGACAGGCTCGCGGTGGCGAATGCGAACGTTCCTAGGCTGGGTGGGGCACCTGCCACTGATCAGGGCGATTGGGGGTAGATGCGCCCCCACCTGAGCCTGCAGTGGAGGCCAGTCCACAAAAAACCTTCCACAAGAAACCCAACCCTGAGACCACAGGACGTCCATTGGTTTTGGGTGTGGGAACGCCGCGCTTTCCACGGCAAAACCATCGAACCCCAAGAAACCCAGGGCACCCTGGAGGCAAACAGGGCGTTTCTTGGCATGGGCCTCCACTGTAGGTCGGGCATGTCCTCCTACAGGCGGACCTTGGAAGAAACACATAATAATTAGTAGAAAAATCAACCACCGTCACAAGAGCACGACAAATCCACACCAAACTGTTCTTCTACTGTTCTTGAACACTCATCCTGCAGAGGGGGCCTGCCCGACCTGAACGTTGCCCCGCGACAGGCGTCCCCGCTGACGGGGCAAAGTGTACCTTTGTGGATGCCATGACAATGGACACCCTCACAATCCCATCTTTGAATTGAAACATGTGTTTACAATGTTTGAAACATATTATTAAAAAAACTGTGTAACTATATGTTCTACCTACATGTTTAAGGCATGTTTTAAACCATGTTTCGACATATTGAACGTATGTGGCAACACGCTCCCTCTCCACTGATCGTCGTCCACAAAGTGTACCTGGCGCCCCTTCTCGCCTGCTCGGGCCCTCGGCGACCGGCGCGGCGGGCAATTTGTGAGACACGCGCCAGCTCAAGAGCTGCAAGCAGAGGCCTCCCAGCTGGGGTCCTCCTCCTCCCCCTCCTGCTCCCCCTCCTCCTCCTCCTCCTCCTCCTCCTCCTCCTCCTCCTCGTCGTCGTCGTCCTCCTCCTCCTACTCCTACTCCTCCCCTCCTCCTCCTCCTCCTCCTCCTCCTCCTCCTCCTCCTCCTCCTCCTCCTCCTCCTCCTCCTCCTCCTCCTCCTCCTCCTCCTCCTCCTACTCGCGCCGTAGCGGCGGTGCATCATCGGCGATGCATCGGCGACGCATCGGCGGTGCTTCGGCGACGCCGGCAAGGAGGAAGGCGACCTCCACAGCGAGCCGCATCTGCGATGCATCGTCGATGCGGCGACCCTCCGAGCACATCTACTCGGACCCCATCTAGGAGGCCTAAATGAAAACAGGTGGCCGTGGCTTGGGCGGAACGGTGCTCGGAGAGATACGGCGGCCCGGAGAACACTCCCGTACGATCGGAATGGGTACGGAAAGAGTGGGGAGCAAGACCGACAGCAGCTCCTGCCCTTTCTGAGCAGGAATCGCCGTCGGTGTCGCCCAGGATTTTGTCCGCTGAACTGTCGGATTTGGACAACATGCGCTTTCAGAGCGGTTGAGGTGCCAGGGTGGAGAGACATGCAGACTCTTCTACGGTCCTGGCCCTCACCAGGGCTGGCCTTTAATCCTGCGAAATAAGGAAAACCTTCATCTTGACTTTTTCGAGGCGCTTAACGCGCGCGTCCAGAGGTCGAACATCGACCCCCAGACCTGTCCCAAGGTGTAATCTGGCCAGAATTTCAAAGGGCATCCAGCCGTGGCGACGAGAAGCCTCCCCGAGGCCCCCTCAATTAGAAAACTTGCACAGACCTCCGAATCTCGAAAATTGAAAAAGGCCCGGAACGAGAGGGAAATCTTCCGACCTCCGAACGCGCCATCGCTCGGACGTCACTTCCCGTGCATTTGCCGGTTTCGTGCGTGTTTTTGGCTCGATGATCCAAGATGCTCCTCGATGGCCCCCGCCGAGAAAGAATGCACATGTCCGAGCGATGCCAAGCGAACGCATTCGCCCATGACGCGACGGCACCCCCGCGAGGTGATCCTGCCTGGGCCCACCCCCAGCCCAGGAACGAAACCACAAACGACGCGCTCCCTTGCCCATGCGGGCCGTCCCGAGAAGGCTGCCGCGGTGGCCTCTCCGCGCGACGAGCGCGCTCCAGCACCCTAAAGCTCTGCTGCAGGATGGTGCACCCCAGCCAACGCCGACGCTGCCCCCGAGATCGGTGCCAAGGGGCCCCCATAGGGAGCTCCACCTGCAGCCCCAGCGGGCTCGACCCCATGGCGGCACCACGCCCACCTCGGCCCACCCCCCGCGAGGATCGCAGTCCCGTGAGGAGCCCCACCGACGGTCTCGGCGGGCCGGACCGCACTGCCTTTCGGCTGGACAGAGCTCTCCTTGGGCCCGAGATCGGTGCCGACGGCCCGCCTGGCCTGGCACGAGGCCCGGCTCTGCACGCAGACAAGGGTGCCGTCGTCGTGTCGCCCACCGGGCATGCCCCAAAAAAGTAGGGAGCGACGGGGGCCGCGATGGGCAAATTTTCCGCCACCGCTACCATGTGCAGGACGGGGGAGAAGGGAGGACGAGGAGGTCCTCCTCCTCCTCCTCCTCCTCCTCCTCCTCCTCCTCCTCCTCCTCCTCCTCCTCCTCCTCCTCCTCCTCCTCCTCCTCCTCCTCCTCCTCCCCTCCTCCCCTCCCCCCCCTCCCCCCTCCCCCCTCCCCCTCTCCTACCCATGGTAGCGGCGATGGAACAGAGGCCCATCAGCTCCGGCCACAGCGAGAGCCACGACGGTCCACGGAGCTCACCAAGGGGGGTGCCTGGCGAGCCCAGGCCCCGGCTTCGTGGGAGCAGCGGCCACGGGGGCGTGCATGGTGGGGCGGCGTCCAGCCTCGATAAGGAGATGGAGGAGGAGGAGGAGGAGGAGGAGGAGGAGGAGGAGGAGGAGGAGGAGGGGGAGGAGGAGGGGGAGGAGGGTGCGCCCGAACCATCTCCGGGGGGTATATATATATATATATATATATATATATTTATATATATTCTGAGCGGCCCGATCTTTTCGGGGGAGCTCGGGGCTCGGGGGCGAGAAATCGCCTGCGTTAAGAGGTGTCCCCACCCAGATATGTGGAAGGGCCCTGAAAACAATGCCCGCCCTGAACACAACATGGTCTTTACCTTAGCGTCGTGACCGTTAGGCACCGGACTTGTTCTCACCCTTGGCCAGCTTCCCCACCGAGGGGGAGACCACACCGCAGTGCAAACAGGGGAGAGATCTGGGCCCAAGGTTGGCTCGGCCAGGCTTGGTGTACAGTCAAGCGACTACAACGAGGAACGCTAAACAAAGAACAAAACGTCTTGCACCCCCAGAACCGCACGTGGTGCACGAACAGCGCTAGAGGAAGGACGCTCGTTTTGCTTCGAACGATCCCCGCCCAGGCACGCGAGGCGGGATCCCCGGGGAGCACCGAGCCCCTCAGGGCCTGTCGGCCGCGGTATGCACCCGTCACCCGTCGAACGCACGAGATACCCAGGGAGCACTAGCTCTCTTTAGGGCTGGCGGCCGTGGTAGCGGCCACAACCTGTCGGGTGGGGAATCAGAGACATCATGATAAGCGATAGAAGTGCCCCTAACCCATTGGGAGGGGACATCGGCTAGGAGGGCCATAAACATTAGGGATTGTTTTTTTTTCTGCGACCAAGCCGCCAAAACGTATTATCCCTAATGCGAAAACGGAGACCAAAGTCTTCTTCATCGTGATATTAGGAGTAGGGGTTCTTTTGTTCTCGATGACGCCTGGAACAACGAGCCCCTTCGGAACCCGAACTGGTCCTTGTTCCAGAAACCTTGACTGTGCCGCAAGATCCAGGACGAGGATAACATCGGGGGAGGATAAATCGAGAATCTCTGAGCTCCGGCGGTTCTGAGGGATGTATCGGGCGCCGCGGCCTTCTCAGAGCGTTCCGGAACGCTCTGAAAGCGATCCGGGACGCTCTGGAACGGATTTATCCTCGTCCTAGCCCCATGCGGCTCATGCGCTGTGCACATTTCGCGCCGTGGGGCACTTAGAGTAGAGCCCGGGTCGGAGATAGTCGGGAGCGTCGTGAGGTCACCCCCTTGCTCCCAAAGATCTCTCTGTTCACCCCGATTGCCCGCTTTGTTTCACTACATGTGTCTCTTCGTTCCCTTTCCCGTTAACTCTCATGGGCAGGGTTTCCGAATGGGAGGGTGGGGATGGCCGAAGCGTGAAGAAAAAGGAGAGGCGCCGTGAAATCGAGGGTGATATCATGGCCCTGGTCACGACATCCACCAGGGCTCGAGCTGAAGTGTTTTTCACTTTCGTTTTATTTTCGTTCTCCTTCGTTCTGCCCTCGTTCTGCCCTTGCTGCGAAACCAAATCAGAAAGAAAACGATCCACCAGATCGCCAAAACACTACTTAGCTGGAGCCCTGATGTCCACCTCCCCCTAGTCATCACCCCTCTCTTGCCCGCCCCCGAAACAGGCTCCACGGAGGGTGCTCAGCCTGGAATGCAAGGCGCCAACGTCGCGAGCCTGCTGGGGCCATGTCGTGCGCTATGCCGCATCGTCGGGGGACTTTGCCTGTCCCGTCGTGCCACGATCTACGTCGAATCCGCGTCGAATCCGTGCAGAATTCGCCTCGAGCCCGCGTCGAAACCAGATCAAATCCGCGTCGAACCCGCATCGAGCACGCGTTGGGCACAAAGAAACAGCGATATTGAGGATCATGAGTGTCCCCCAAAAGTGCAACGTAACGGAGGGTGCTCAAAGCGGAACGCAAGGCGCCGACGAAGCGAACCTTCTGGGATTGTCTCGGTTGTTCGTCGACGGAGGGCGAAGACACGTACGCCTGGACCCACTCGGGGCTGGACAGACCCCCCTTTAGTAAAACGTGGTTTAGTGAAAACGACCTGAGGCCCAAACCTGGCGGGCGCAAGCCTGGAAAATAACGGCCACGGCGCCCTCTCGAGACTCGAAAACGGACAATTCACTAATCGACGTGTCACTGTTGGGGGTTCTGTCCACCCCCGACCCACGGGGACAGCTGAGGGGCCATGCAGGGCCCCAGCTTAGTAGATGAGCAACAGCGGCATGAGAGCATGAGCATGTTCCTGGGATAGATTTCTTGGATCAAGCGTAAGTCGGGCATGTCCCCCTACAGGCGGATTTTTGATGAAAAATAAGACATTGTCAAAACATACCCCAGAACACGAAAAATAACCGAAAGATCGTCCCCATACGATTTTTGACTGTCTTCGAACACTCCACCTGTAGAGGGACACGCCCGACTTCAGCCCAAGCGGCTTGTGGTGGATCGACGCGGACTCCTTCCTCTGGGGGGCCCACGCGGACTTTTCTTAGACACCGACACGGGGCGCGCGCAAATGGCGGCACGCGAAGCGCCGCCGCGAGGGGAACCGAGAGCGCCGAGAACACGCACGAGAAGCCCGTGCGGAGCACTCGGAGAGCTGCTGCCGCGTGCTTCGCTCTGCTTCGGACCCCCGCACGCCCACTCGGGGAAACAGCTTTGTCGACAGCGGCGAGGCGGCGAACTCCGCTCCAGCGGGAAGCTAGATAGGGGCACTGACTAGCGAATTGGCCGGCGGGCAAAGAGGGAGGGAGGGGGGGACGGCCGAGAGGAAGAAGGGACGCTCAGACCCATTCAGGGAAACAAGAGATGCCATAAGCATGAAGCCTCGGAGGTCCGCCCGGATTTCTCGGATCGGCGCTGGAGCCCCCTGGCGGCGCCTCCGGCACCGCCCCTGGCGCGCTCCGCGCGCCAAGGAGGGGGGTCCAACGCCGATGCGAGAAATCCGCGCGGACCTCCGAGTTTGTTGTTTATGTCATTGCTTGTTTCCCGTCCATGGCCCCCCCGTGGCCGCTCGCCAGAGTGCATCTGCGTACATCAGGGGCTCGACCACAAGAAACCTTCCACAAGAAACCCAACCCTGAGACCCCAGGACGTCCATTGATTTTTGGTGCGGGAACGTCGCGCTTCCCTTGGCAAAACCATCGAAAACCAAGAAACCCAGGGCACACTGGAGGCAAGCAGGGTGTTTCTTGGCATGGGCATCCACTGCATGCTTGTGTTGTTCTTCTGCCTCCAGATCCCCATTCATGCACCGCCCTCCAGGCGCCGCTCGCCCGAGTGCAGCAACTGGCGCCTCCTGGCGGGGTGGCGAGCGGGAGGGCAGCCGCAGCCGCGCCGGGGCTCATAAGCAGCAGGCCCGGGGGCGCCCGGCAAAACTCGCGGACCCAGCGCGACACGCGAAGGAGGGAGAGCCGAAGAGGCAGGACAGAGCAGAGGGCAGGGCAGAGAATCAGCTCACGCAGCTGGTCTTCCTGGCGCCTCCTGGCGCCGGGAGGATGTATCGAGGGGAGGCGGGCGCCTGGCGTCGGGGCAGAGAAGGCAGCCGCAGGCAGCAGGTTTCGTAGCCCCCCCTGTCCCAATCCTATCTTCTCGTCCTGCCCGAGGTGAGCCGGCGGGGGAACCAAGGAGCAGGGAACTAGAGAGGGAGGAGGGAAGAGAGGAGGAGAGGGAGGAGCATGAGAACTAGAGAGGGAGGGACAGGACGAGACGGTCGACAGAGAGGGAGGAGCAGGAGAAGTAGAGAGGGAGGACCAGGAGCCCTGGAATAGGGAGGGGAGGGGGCAGGAAGAGAGAGAGGAGGAGCAGGAGAGCTCGGTCGCCTCACTTCGAGAATCGCGCCTCGCGATCCCGGTGGGTCCGTGGGCAGAGAAGCCAGCCAGGGCGAGGGCACGCGTGCGCAGAGGAACGCTCCGAGTGGGCGAGAGGGCGCCTTCAGATTCGCAGAGGCGCCGTGACTGCCTACCATGCCACCCCAACCCAACCCGAGGACACGAATCTCGGGTTGTTTTTTGGGGGGGTACGGGTTCCATATGGTTTTTTTCAATCGCTCCCCGACGCCCCCCCCCACTGGAATGCTCCCCGACCCCCCCCCCACTGGAAATGGAGGTCAAATGGAGGTCTTCGGGTTGGGCTGGAATGGTTTGGTGGGTGGTGGCGCCCAGGCTCGCGCCCTCGCGCTGCGCGAAGCGCGAGCATTGTGCGCGCCCTCGCGCCACCCCCAGGGGAGGAGGAGGAGGAGGAGGAGGAGGAGGAGGAGGAGGAGGAGGAGGAGAAGGAGGAGGAGGAGGAGGATGAGGAGGAGAGGAGGAGGAGGAGAAGGAGAGGGAATGCAAACCCGAGAACCATCAACGGAATTGCAATTCACCCTCCCCCCAGATTCTCCCTATTCATACCAAGTTCAACGAAATTGCAATTCACCCTCCCTCCAAATTCTCCCTATTCATACCAAGTTCCCGCAATGACTTCCTCCCACTGCGGGAAAGCCCCGTTGGAAGACAGCCGTCTGAAAATCGTCAACCAGGCCAAGGCACCATTCCTGGGACTTCAGCGCCACGAATCAACGCTACTGCTGTGTCCTGACTATCCCGAATCGTGTCAGAACGCCGGCCCTGGGACTTCAACACCGCACATCATCGTGACTGTCGCGCCCTGACAATCCTAAATCGTGCCAGGGCACCATTTCTGGGACGTCAACCATCAGAATCCTGAAACATGCTGGAAACTGTTAAGACGAAAACGCGCGGCGCTAAGGCGAGAACACGCCTCCCTCAATCCGTGCAGCTCCTGCAAACTGTTGTGACGAATATGCGCGGTGCTGAAGCGAAAACCACATTCTGAAAACGACCCTCCCTCCATCCGTGAAACTCTATCAAACTTTCAAACGAATGTGGGCAACGCTACGACGAGAACCGCGTCGAAAACAACTCGCCCATCATCCGTGGAACTGATTGCAAACTTGTATGACAAATGTGTGCAGCGCGAAGGCGAAAACCGCATTTTGAAAACAAGTCCTTCATCTGTGAAGCTCTTGCATCTTCTGAGCTTGAGAATCATAAATGGTGGGGGGATCTCAGGCGGCACAACCGAACCGCGAACCGCGAAACACGAAGATCTTCGCGAAGAGGAGTGTGGCGGCAAGGCTGGGCAGACGCGACGGGAGAAGGAACGCGAGGAGGCAAAAAAACACTGCTGGAGGGGACGCCAACTATGCACGAGCACCGATCCTGGACAGGCCACCCCGGGGCCGAGGTCGTGGGCCTGGCCAAGACGGGTGCATACTTGTAGTTGACGTCCACCGACGGCGGGTATTCTCACCGCTGATCGCGAAGATTCATGCAGCATGAACCTACCGCAACGCTTTGAAACTGTTGAGGGCGCCTGCGTCCACCGCGCCGCTACGGCTTGGAGACCCGTGCGTGCGAAGATCTCTCCGTGCTTGAAGCGCTCATGCCAACCTGGTCCTGTCCGCTTCGGTTCCTTGCCTCCCTCCTACCCTCTTGCCTCCCACCCGAGAGCTGATAGGCGAGGGCAGGGTTCGGATCTCGCCGCCGACGAATCGTATCTCACTCAGGTCCTGCTCCCACAAGTGGAGGCCAGTCCACAAGAAACCTTCCACAAGAAACCCAACCCTGAGACCCCAGGACGTCCATTGATTTTTGGTGCGGGAACGTCGCGCTTCCCATGGCAAAACCATCGAAAACCAAGAAACCAAGGGCACCCTGGAGGCAAGCAGGGTGTTTCTTGGCATGGGCCTCCACTGTACCCCTCCTCTCCCTCCTCCTCGCCCTGCCCAATACAGTGTCCCAGGAATTCCCGACCCTTTCTCCGGGACCGGTTCTTCATCCTGAATCATCTCCTGACGGTCCCGAGGTCCGGCGAGGCCCCTCCGAGGCCGAAGATGGTCAAAAACTGTCCGTCCTGATTTTTTTAAAACGACGCGATCATGTCTGGACCCCTCTTCCCTCCTCCTCCCCCGTGCTCACTCCCCGCAGGGCTCGATGCGATGGCGCTGGCCCCCCTCGGCAGCAGCCGCGCCAGCGGCGCGCCCGCGCGCACCCCGCGCGGCCGTGCGCCCGGAAGCACGAGGCCAGGACGTGTACAGATCCACCGCCTGAGCGGGCACCGGGCCTCGGACGCAGGAGTCGAAGAGGAAAAAACGCCATATGACACACTCTCTCGGAGCTTCGCTCTGATCTCTTGGATCGGCGCTGGCCCCCCCCCTGACGGGTCCTCTGGCGCCGCCTTTGGCGCGCTCCGCGCGCAAGGGAAGGGAGTCCAGCGCAGATGCCAGGAGTTCGCGGCGACCGTCAAACATGCATGTGTATGCTGCTTGTTCTCCCTAGAGAACAATACCCGCTCACGGCCCCTCTGGGCCCAAATACTTCGATATCCGCCACGCCTCCCAAGGTTCAGGACGATCGGTGCCACAGGCGGTGGACTTGTGTAAGAGCAGCCGGAAACAAAAGAGGTTCGAAGTTCCGTGAATGGAAGTGGCAAGGGCTAGAAAACTGGCAGGGCCAGAACGAAGCCAGAAACAGCTGGAATCAGGTGGCCAGGGCTGGAAAATGGGGGGAAACTGATCAGCCAGGACTGGCAAAAGAAAGGAAGGGCTTGACCGAGCCTCTTCTCCCAGCGTCTCTGTGTTAAGAGGGCGGCACCTATATACACCCATAGAGGCCTCCTAGATGGGGTCCGAGTAGATGGGGTCAAAAGATCGCACCGCATCGCCGATGGATCGGCGACGTCCACGTGAAGCAGATCGGGCCCCTCATCGAGCTGCATCGGCGATGCATCGGCGATGCATCGGCAATGCGGCGCGGTCCTCCGACATCACCTACTCCGACCCCATCTGGGAGGCCTAGACACAAGACAGGAATGCTTGACCGAGCCTTGTCTTCCAGCTTCTCTGTAATAAGAGGGCGACGCCTATACACTCACCACCGATCCTGGCCTGACCTTCGGCGGCGAACGAGGGGGGGACATGAGAAGGAACTGGCCTTCTCAGAAGGCGGCGGCGCTTCTCAGAAGCCCTCACGCCTTCTGATTGAATTGTCTGTGTGTCTTCGGAGGAGGCGTAGAAAACTTCTCAGACGGCCGGGGGGGGACTTCCGAGCCTTCTGAGAAGGCCCGCCCCTTCCCCCCTCCCCCCCCTCGCCCTCCGTCGAATACACACAGCACCGATCCTGGCGAGACCTGCACCGGGCCCAGGACCGATGCAGACGCCCTCCCTGGTTCGGGCAGGAAGGCACAAATACACACCGAGCCTGGGCACGGGACGAGCCTGGCAAGGCTCGGTGCGGGTGCACCCTCAGTCCCAGATGTACAACGTCTTGATTTCTCTGTGTACACCCCCAGTTGTCCGACCCTTACCCCAGCGCCTGAAGTCGGGGGAGGACGAGGTACTCATACTGCTACCCTCCGCCCGCTTTCCCCTTTTTGAGCCTCCTCGGAGGCCCTCGTCGCCACCGTTGTATTCGCCTCGAAATTCTAGTTAGCACGCACCCCGGGAGAGGTCCGGGGAGTAGCGGAATCGGCACCCTTTGGTCTCCCCAGGAGCTTCGCCCCGAGTCACTCTTGACGGTCCCGAGGCCCGGCGAGGGCCCCCGAGGGCCGAAGACGGCCACAAACCCGTCCCTTGCGCGGTGCTGTTCACGACGCCGGCACGTCCGGCGTCCAGGTGGTCGCGGGTGCCCCTTTGGTGCACACGTCGCAGCCTCGGGCTCAAATGGGCGCCCGCGCCGACCGGCCCAGGCAGCCTGCGCCTCACCTCTGCCTGCGGGGTGCGCGCGCCGCGCTCGGGCGCAGACCCGCGCGCGCCACGCTGAGCGACCACGCGGGCCACGCTGGAGCGGGGGGGACATGGGCAGCGCTGTGCGGTCGGCACGAGGATGAGGTCGGGCATGACCTCCTACTACAGGCGGATGTTGGGAGAAAGCTGAAGGGCTGTCAAACCATGATCAGGAAATAATCAAAAGAGCACGAAAAGTCGTCGGTCGCCAGACTATCTTGAGACTATTCTTGCACATTCCTCCTGCAGAGGGACATGCCCGACTTAACACCAGGATCGAACTCCCGCTGGGCGACCATTCCGCGGAGAAACCCTGAGAGGCAGGAGCTGCGCCGGCGGCGAGAGGCGACCAGCTCCCTCCCCCTCTCTCTTGCGATCCTCCTCCCTGTGCTTTCGGACGCCCTGGGTCACCATGGCGATCAGCCTGCACGTTGACGGTTCCTGCCCTCCTCCTCCTGTCCGTCCTCCATCAAGAGGAATCTTAGAGGCCTTAGGACCCATGCGAGAAGCCCACTGCCCTCTCAGAGGCACCCTGCCTTCTTAGAAGGCCGCCCCCCTCGCACCGCCCTCAGGATGCACAATAGGGGGGGGCGGATCATGGGAGCAAACATTGACCTGCAATCGGCGACACATACATCGCCGATAGAGGGGTGATAGGCCCTCGATAGCGAGTCCGCAGGTTCCTGGTCGGGGTGGGCTATCGGGCCCTCATCGGCGATGAATGGGCGATTGGGGGCCGATACGTCACTCCTGAACCCAGTCCCCCCTCCCTGATGTTGCCCCCTGGCTTTCAGGTCATAAGCCGGCTCTCCGGAGGCCATCCGGGACGATCCAGGCACCCTTGCAACGCTCTCGGCAAGCGCAGCTGCTGGAGAGCACCCCTAGGCTGGAACTCCCCTGGGGACCACGAAATCCTGTATATATCGAACACCGAACATCGAGTCTATCCCCCTCACGTTGCTCGATCCCCCCCCTACTTGAATCACCGCTGTGTTTGCGTAGGGGATAGGGGGGCTATAAGTGAATGCCAATGTGGCTTACAGATGGTCTACAACATGTGGTTTAGAAGTGCCCCAACTGGCTCAGGGGGGCGAGGATCTGGGCCAAAAGTCCAGCCAAGCCACTTGACCTGGATCGGGAGGGAGGTGATTTTTTACGTCTCCAATGGCGGTATGCTGCCGGATGGCGCATAAGGTAAAGACCCCTGTAACCCACTGATAGGCTGGGAAGACCAGACATAGCCCAACTTAGCACTAGGTCAGGCATGTCCTCCTACAGGCGAATTTTGGCAGAAAAATAAAACATAGTAAAACAAAAAACAAGAATAGTCAACAGAGCACTTGACGAGAGAAAAGACATTCTCGAACCCAGCACCTCGAACCTCCCCCCCTCCCTGAGATCCGGCGTCTCGAACAAGTTGAGGCCTTGTGAAAATCTCGACTGGAGCCCTGGACCCCATCCTTCTGAGTGCCACAGACTGGGCGAAAGCGTCCAGCTCGAAACAGTGGAGTCGCCGGGACCTCGGGGCAAGGCGACGCCGGCGGCGGCCGCAAGACCGCGGCGGGCGGGCTGGCCCTCTCCACGCGTCGTCGCCCTTGCCCTCGCCGCCCCGGTCGCCCTTGCCCTCGCCGCGGCCCTTGCGGCCGCCCCGCCACCTGGGCGGGGAGAAGAGGCGGGTCTCGAGCTCGAGCAGGGGGTCGACGACAGAATCGATGCACCCCAGAGTTAACTTTCGCGCCGAGTTTGCGGAAGACACTCGTAGGAGGTTCGTAGATAAACGGAGCAGTCTGCACGTTGTCGTAGACGCGCATTTCTGTAGTCGATCCCGTCGATCCCCCACTCGATCAGCGAGATGACACAACGACCTTGTGCGGTGGCTTCCGCGGGCCGCCCGGCGTGGCGCGCCACACTGAAGACGAGGGCGCTTGCGCACGGCGTCTTACGCGGGCAGCGTACGTGCGAACGTCCGGGCTGGCGACGCCGTTCCTTTGCGTCGCTCACCTCTCGGGATCCACCAAAGGGGGGCTGACCCTGAGGCATGAGTTCGATCCGCTGGTGCACCGAACTGCCGCATACAGATGCCCCCCCGCATGCCCCACCTATCGGCAGCAATCGGGAGCTGCCAGCGGCTGGGGGGGCATCTGTTTTGGGCGGTTCGGTGCAAAAACCTTAGCGGGGTCCCCCCCCTTTGCGGGGTCCCGAACCTCGGCGCGCGAGACCCGGGGCGCCGCCCTGCCCCCACGTGGTCGGGGGCCATACGCCGACGTGCCCGCACAGGCTCACGCCGTGGAGCAAAACCACGACGAGAGGTGTGTGCTCCGCCGTCTGCGGCCTCTGCTGGGGGAGCTCTCGCCACAGGCCCCGCTCGGGAGGAATACTCGGCCCCGGGGGATGGGTCGGGACTTCCGGGGGACCGCGTTTCGGGAGTCCTGCTCACAGCGGACGGGAATTGCGGTTCTCTTCGCTAATCGTCTGTCGCTGGCAGGAGGCGTTCCTATCCACGGCCTCACGGGCCGGCCTCGCGGGCCGGGCTCCTGGGCAGGAAACCAATTGATACGGGGCGTTTTCGCTGATGCCCCGCGCGGAACGTGATGGGGCAGCTTCTGGGAGGTCTTCGCAATAACAAATCAGTATGGGCTATTCGCCACCGTGCCCTGAGGCACGAGTCGAATCGCCCGGCTTGCAGCTCTTGTCCTCCATTCTGAATGAACCGACGAACGAAAACGGAATAAACATAACATGTTGATGGTCCGCGCGGATTTCTTGCATCTGCGCTTGACCCCCCTCCCTCGCTCGCGGAGCGCGCCAGGGAGCGGCGCCGAAGGCGCCGCCGGGGGGGCCTGGCGTGGATCCAAGAAAACCGCGCGGAACGCAAAAAGTTTATGTGTATTGCGCTTTTACTGATTCGCTTATGTTGCTTCCCTCGTACTTAAGGACCACAACCCATAAATAAGTTCGAGCACCCGGAAAAGTGTCGAAAGCGTGTCGACACAGTGTCGAAACAGAGTCGGACGAGTGTCTCCCAGGGCACGACACGTGAAAACCCTCGAGTTTCGGTATTTTGTTTGGTGCTCGGAAGTCTTTCTGGTGATCACAGCTAAAGCATGTTGGAACGTCATTTTTCTTCGAGTGAATCAATACCAAAGGGCCCGGACCCAAAATTGTCGGATTTCCCGGGCCCTGCGTGCCTCCTGGGACTTCCCACACGTTTCCGCGCGGTTTGTTTCGGAGCCAAATGATTGACCAAAAAAGGATCCCTAACCCTTTGGGAGGGGACCTAAGTCAAGAGGGCAAGGAACATCAGGGATAGGGGGATAGAGGGGGTCATCCCTGCCGGTGTATCGAACCAAAAAACCCAGAAGTATGATCCGTACGACGGGAACCTCAGTGATGCTACGTCTTCATCGCGTCAGTAGGGTTAACGACTCTTTTATTTTCAATGAACCCATAGGGCCAACGAATGGGCCAAGATGGCCTCACAAGGCCCCGGGACGGTCCAAGGAATGCCGCGAGTCGCCCAAGATCGCTCCAAGACGTCCATGGATGGCCCCCTGACGGCCCAAGCTGCCCCCAAGAAAGGGCTCCAAGAGGCCATTCAAGAGGGCCCCGAGGAGGTGATTTTGCCTTTCCTGCGGGTGTTGAAAAAAATGTCAGCGGTCTCGCCTGTTCGGGATTTCGACTCCAAGATGGCCCAAGCAGCCTCCATTATCGCCACAGGACGGTTCAAGAGGCCCCGAGAGGGCCTCCAGATGGCCCAATAAAGGGCCCCAGACGGCCCAAGAGGTACCCCAAACGGCACAAGAGGGACAGGAAACCAGATTGAGCCGACTATGAACAGAATTGGCCCGGTAGGCCCAAGAAACCATAATGAGCCGACTTTGAGCCGACTTTGAACCGAATTGACCCAGCAGGCTCCTCCTCCTGCTCCCTTACTTCTCCTCCTCCTCCTCCTCCTCCTCCTCCAACTCCTCCTCCTCTTCCTCCTCCTCCTCCTCCTCTTCCTCCTCCTCCTCCTCCTCCTCCTCCTCCTCCTCCTCCTCCTCCTCACTCCTCCTCCTCCTCTCCTCCTCCTCCTCCTCCTCCTCCTCCTCCTCCTCCTCCTCCTCCTCCTCCTCCTCCTCCTCCTCCTCCTCCTCCTCCTCCTTCGAGCGGCAGCGTTAACAACTCGGCGGTCCTGGGGAAAGGGTCGAGACTTGCAGGGGCGCGCACTAAAGACTAAGAAAAACAACGCGTCGCACGTCTGGGGATACATCGCCGCCGAAACATCGGCGATAGGCCCCCACAGCAAATCCGCAGTCCTGGGAAGGGGGTGGGCTACTGGGCCCATACCGGCGATGGATGGACGATCGGGGGTCGATGCGTCCTCCTTGGGCCTACCCCTGGAGGGACAAACGATACCATAAACAGAAACTTTCGGAGGTCCGCGCAGATTTCTCGCATCGGCGCTGGAACCCGCACGGAGCGCGCCAAGGGCGGCACCGGAGGCGCCGCCAGTGGGCTCCAGCACCGGTCCGAGAAATCCGCGGACCTCCGAACACCTGTTTGTGCTAATGGTCTTGCTTGTTCCCCGCATTCCCCCCCCCCCCCAAGCGATCCTCATCTCAGCAAGAGCGCGTTGTGGTCGCTTGGAGGGGGGGGGGTGGAACCGGACCCCCCTCTTTGGATGGAGGGGGGGTTCGAACCCCACCCCCCGTGACGGAGGGGGGAAAGGGGGGTTTCGAACCCCCTCCACCCTCCCCTACTTCTCTTCTCTCCTTCTCCTTGGCTGGCGGCGGCGGCGGCGGGGACGACGATTTCCTTTTCTGGGCCGGCGCCGGCGCCTGCGGCGGCGGGCGGCGGCGGCGGGGAGCGCCGACGAGGACGACGGTGGTGGTGGTGGTGGGTTGTGGTGGTGGTGGCGGTGGTGGTGGTGGCGGTGGTGGTGGTTGTGGATGTGGTGTGGTGGTGGTTTGTTGTGGTGGTGGCGGTTGTGGTGTTGGGTGGTGGTGGTGGTGTGGTGGTGCTGGTGGCGGTGGTTTGTAGTGGTGGTGGTGGGTTGTGGTGGTGGTGGTTTGGTGGTGGCGTGGTGGTGGTGGTGGTAGTGGTGGTGGGTGGTGGTGGTGGTGGATTGTGGTGGTGGCGGTGGTTTGTGCAGGTGGTGCTGGTGGTGGTGGTGGTGGTGGTGGCGGTGGTGGCGGTGGTGTGGTGGTTTGTGGTGGTGATGGGTTGTGCTGATGGTAATGGTGGTGGTGGTGGCGGTGGTGGCGTGGTAGATTGTGGTGGTGGTGGTGGTAGTGGTGGTGTTTTTTTTGTGGTGGTGATGGTGAGTTGTGGTGGTGGTGGTTGTGGTGGTGATGGCTGTGGTGGTGGTACCGGTTGTGTGGGTTGGTGATGGTGGTGGTGGGTTGAGGCGGTGGTGGTGGTGGTAATGGTGGTTATCGTCGCTGCGTCCCCGCCGTCGCCGGCGCCAGCGCCGGCACTGCTTGCCGCCGCCAGCGCCAGCGCCGGCGCCAGGGGGGGGTTTGATCCCCCCCCCTTGGGCTGCCTCTGGTCATCCTCGCTGCGTCCCCGCCGTCGGCGTTGCTGGCGGCCGCAGGCGCTGGCGCCGGGGGGTGGGGGGTTTCAACCCTTGGGAGAGGGGGGGAGGGAGGGGGGGGGAGGGAGGTGGGAGGGGGGTTGGGGGGGAGGGGAGTCCCCTCGTTCTGATCGACGGCGCCGAGTGTTGGGGGGGGGGCCACCCCCCGGTTCGAAACGCGCCGCCGAATGTTCCCAAGGCAAGCGCCCGTGAAACGCGTTCTCTCTTTTCTACGCGTCTTGACTGTAGTGGTAGAGGCGCACTTCTGGCAGCGCGCGCAGAAGGGGTGAGGGGGATGAGGGAAGGCTTCTTAGAAAGAGGCTGCTTCTTAGAAGGCGCCGGCCTGACCTCTATAGATGAGGCCCGCGCCTTCTGAGCAGCAGGGGTGCTTCTAAGAGCCCTTCCCCCCTCCCCCTACGCTCCTCTGCGCGTGGCCGACACTTGCCGCCCACTCCCTGGCGCACGGAGCGCGCCAGGGGCAGCGCCAGAGGCGCCGCCAGGGGGCCCAGCGCAGATTCAAGAAATTCGCTCGGACCGTCGAGAATTGTTGTTTATGCCGTTGCTTCTTAACTCGAATACAGCGCGTATTAGCATGTTCGGAACCCACCCAAGGGGCGGAGTGACCCTGAGGGGAGGCAGGAGTTCGATCCGCTGGCGCCCCGAACTGCCACACACAGATGCTCCCCGCATGCCCCACCGATCGGCAACTATCGGGAGCTGCCGGCGGCTGGGGCCCACTGGGGGGCTCGGCGCAAAGACCGATCGAACTCACACACCCCTGGGGCACACACACACACACACACACACCCAGCGGGATCCTGACAGTTGTCGCTCGCCCGAGTGCAGCAGCTGGCGCCTCTCGGCGGGTTGGCGAGCGGGAGTGCATCCGCAGCCCCGAGGGCTCGTGAGCAGGCCCCGGAGGTGCCCGGCAAAACTCGCGCACCCAGCGCGACACGCGAAGGAGGGAGCGACGACGAGCCCGCGGGGGACGAAGAGGCAGGATGGAGCGAAAGGCAGGGCAGAGAATCAGCTCGCGCAGCTGGTAGTCCTGGCGCCTCATGGCGCCGGGAGACGCCCGTGTATGTAACGAGGGAAGGCGCCTGGCGTCGGGGCAGAACGCAGCTGCAGGCAGCAGGTCTCGTGGCCCCCCCCTTCCCAGTCCTAATTACCCTCTCGTCTGGCCCGAGGTGAGAATCAGCTCGCGCAGCTGGCCTTCCTTCCTCGGGGCGGCGCCACCCAGAATCGCCCTTGCCGCCGTCCCTGTCCCGCTCCCTGTCTTTGTCCTTGCCGCGGCCCTTGCCGAAGCCGTGCTCCCTCCGGTCCTGGGCCACGGTCTGGAGGAGCCGAGAGGCGCTTCGAAAAGGTCTGCGCGGATTCCCCGGACCGCCAGCGATCTGATGATGCGTGAAGTCCCTGCGCTTTTCTTCGACGAGGACCAGAAACATCAACATACACTTTTGGCGCTCCGCGCGGCTTTCTTGGATTCGCGCTGGTCCCCCCTCCCTGGCGCGCGGAGCGCGCCAGGGGCGGCGCCAGAGGCGCCGCCAGGGGGCCCCAGCGCGGATCCAAAATCCGCGCGGAGCGCCAAACATTTCTGTTTATGCCGGTCTGTTCTTCCTCGATGTCCTCGACCTGGACCACAGTGAGTTCACGGGCCCCGGGACCATCAATCATAGATTGGAGGGGAAAAAGCGACTCCCAGGGAGTCGGCTGGGGCCTCTGGGGCCACTGGTGACAAGATTACACTGGCGGATGTCTGGGCTCTCGAGTCCGCGCGGGGCCCCTCCCCCTGGTGCCGCGGAGCGCGCCAGGGGCGGCGTTGGAGGCGCCGCCCAAGGGGCGGGGGTCCAGCGCCGACCTCCGAAAGCTCATGTGTTTGCGGTTCCTTGCCATCTTGGTTTCGTGCGTAGTTCTTCTGCAGATGATCCGACATGCTCCAACATGGCACACAGGTTGTATGGCACTGGTGGCCTCGCCAGAATAGAAACACACAAGTTCGAAAGATGTAGAGGCTCGTACTAAGGCTCGTACTGCTTCGCTGGTCGTCATCGTCCTCTTCCTCCTCCTCCTCCTCGTCATATATCGGCGGCGAGCCTGGGGGGGGAAGTGAGAAGGGGCGGGCCTCCTCAGGAGGCTCGGAAGTCCTCCGGACTTTGAGAGGTTTTCTATCTGCCTTCTCCGAAGACACAGAAGACTTCGCAGAAGGCGCGAGGGCTTCCGAGAAGCCCCGCCGCCTTCTGAGAGGGCCTGCTCCTTCTCACCTCCCCCCCCCTCGCTCGCCGCCGACCGAGTCTTAGGTCGGGCATGTCCTCCTACAAGCGGCTTTTTTGAAGAAACATGAACAAGCATCGGAAAATACTGAATCAAATAGTCAAAAGAAAAGAGCATGACAAATCGTCCCAGTTCTATGCCCTCACTATTCTTGAATATTCCTCCTGTAGAGGGACCTGCCCGACTTAAAGCTAGCCCTGATCATCGAAGACGCGTCTGCGCAGGACGAGCACTCGGGGGGGCGACGTCCCACCAGGCTCCGCCACGGGGGTGGAACTCCCCTCCCTCTATGCCCTCCCTCGACGCCCTCCCGTCCCTGCCTCCCCTCCCCGATTTTCTTGGGGGGGGGGGGCAAGCGCAGGATGGCAAATGGCAGGGTAGAGAACCAGCACACGTCGCTGGCTTTCCTGGCGCCGCCTGGCGCCGGGAGGTGCCCATGCCTCGATGAACGGGCCCGGATCCTTTTTCTAGATTCTGGCAAGTTTACTTGCGTGGCGCTCGCCCCCCCACCCCCCCGCTCGCCCCTCTTCAAACGAATACTAGCTAGCAGGTGCCTGTCGATTTGCGATATCTCCGCACGCGCAAGTCGTTTGCGGCTTGCTTCAGGTGCAGGCCCCCCCCCGTCCATGCAAGTACATGTTCCGGGTATGTGTACACATGTAAAAAACGAAGAGAGAAACAGAAAGGCTCGGATGGGCCCGGCGGCGGGGCGGAAACCAGCTGCATGCACCAGATTTCGTACCCCCCCCTTTCCCTAGTTATCCTGCCTTTCGGCCAGCCAGGAACTGACTGGGGCCCCAAACCGGCGCCCTCAGCCCTGCTCCTCTTGGTCCTCCTCCACCTCGCTCCTCTCCCTCCCTCCCACCTTCCCCCCCCCCCTCTCTCCCCCCTCTCCCTCCCCCCTCTACAATTACACATTATGAATACTACATTCCTTTCTCCCCTGACGACGTCCGAAAGGTACCCTACTACACATGGGATTTCCGGGAACGTGGTTTTCGCTTGGTTATTGTTCAACATGTTGTTCCCGCTGAAGCGCTGGCCTCATTTTCAGGTTTCCGCCCGTTCCGAATCGTGCTCCCGCTGCAGCGCTGCCCTCATTTCCGCGCTTCCGCTCGTTCCGAATCGTGCTCCCTTTTTCGGCAATCCAATTCTTTTCCGTCCTTCAACATGTTGCTCTGGCTGCAACGCTTGCCCCATTACTGCGCCGCTGGTTGTTCCAAAACGTGCTCCCGCTGCAGCGCGAGCGTTGTCGGTCCTTCCAAATAGGCCCCAAATTTAGAAAATTTGAATCCGAAAAAAACATCGCAAGTGTTTACACGTCCAGTGTCGATTCGTCGAGTTTTTGGGCCGCAGAGGCCCCACTTCGGGGCGGCGGCGTTTGGAGGAAGTATCAAGGGGGAGCCCCGTTTCTGCTTTCAGAAAGCGATGCTGCAAGCAGAGCCAGCGGGTGGTCTCCATCAGCCCCGCCTTGTGGGGAGCTTTTCGCGGAGCCAAGGGAGCTAAATATGGAGCAGCGACTCCAAACCGGTCCAGACCCTTCGAAGACTATCCACTTACCCTCCAAGGAACCTGGTGCACTGCCATGACATGCTGTCCGATGTTCTGTTCTGCGCCGCTGTGCGATGCAATACTTTGCGTTGCAATGCTTTGTGATGCAACGCTTCACTACGCAATGCAACGCCATGCTATGACATTCTACGCTCTGTCGTGCTCTTCTACGCCATGCCATGCCGCGCTCTCCGATGCATCGCGCACCCTCTCGCGATCATTGCCATGCTCGACATCCGACTGTGCGAATAGAGAAGAGATCTACGCTATGGTAAGGGATGGGAGGGAGGGGTAGGACGTCAGACATGACGCGAGCGCACCTAGCTTGCCCTCCCCATCCCCTATCCACCCCTCCCTCCCCCCTCCCCCTCCCCCTCCCCATCTCCCTCCCCCCGACTCTTTCGTCCGGCACGAGATTCGGGATTAGACAGAGCCCCCCTTCGGCAGAGCACCCGCCAGTAACAAAAAATGTAGCCTGGCGAAGGACCCAACCATGTGCAGTTGTAAGTGCCCCAGTTGTGAGTGTCGTCTTCGGTGGAGCTCGCTATGGGGCCACGAAACGTGTGTGAGGGGTGTCACCAATCAGATCAGGAGTGGAACCGCATGCGAACCCTGCCACTGGGGCCTTCGGAGGTCCTGTCTATGAGGCCACGAAGCGTGAGGGGGCCGGAATGGAGGTGGAACCACATACGAACCCTGCCACTGGGGAATTAGGTGGAACTCCCGCTGGGGGCACGAAACGTGTAAGGGGTGTGCCGACAAAGAGATGGAAACGCATGCGAACCCTGCCACTGGGGCAGCTCCCTGGGGCCACACGAAACGTGTAAGGGATGTGCCGAAATGACGGGTGGAACCGCATGCGAACCCTGCCACTGGGGCCTTCGGTGGAGCTCGCTATGGGGCCACGAAACGTGTGAAGGGTGTGCTGAAATTGGTGGTGGAAACACATGCGAACCCTGCCACTGGAACCTTTGGTGGAGTTCCCTCTGGGCGCACGAGATGTGTGAGGGGTGTGCCGAAATTGGGGGTGGGGCCGCCATGCGAACCCTGCCATTGTGGCCTTCGGCGGAGCTCCCTATAGGCCCACGAAACGTGTGATGGGTGTGTCGAAATGGGGGTAGAACTGCATGCGAGCCCTGCCACCGGGGCCTTCGGCGGAGCTCCCTAGGGGCCACGAGACGTGCAAGTGGTGCAAAGGATGGGTGGAGGGGTGGAGGGAGGAAAAATGAGTGAGTGACGCGGGGCTCTCTTCAAAATGAGGACCCAAAACCACAGGACTGCCGGGAGCAACCCGGGGCCAAGCCCGCCCAGCGAAGGCACCCGCAAAAAAGAACACGGGCGCGAGACTCCCGAGAACCGAACAAACACGATGCGCTGGTTGATTTGGCAGGTCGTGCAGCCACTCTAGGATGCATCCACATGAGACGAGACACTGAAGCAGGAGGAGGAGGGAAGAGAAGCTAAAACAGGAGGGGGAGGGGAAGGAGGAGGAGGAGGAGGAGGAGGAGACAAGATAAGATAAAACACGACCGTGGGCCCGCATCCCTCTGTCCTGCTGGCACAGCCGCGGCGGAACGGACAGACCGCGCGCTCTGCGAGGACGCAATGCCCTGACGAGGGCCACGCTGCCACAGGAGTGGAAAGGGCGTGGGGGTCTGCGACCAAGAACTTTTGCTTAGCGTGTCAAGGCGTAGTAGGCCCAGGCGACTGGCTATGCCCTGCGAGCTGAGACTATATATTTTTTCTCCGCGCCGGCATTCCCCACACCACCAGCAGCTCCACACAGATCGCGGGCCCACCTGCGCACAACTCAATGTGCATCGACCAGGGCGTCCTGGCCAAAATGGCACTAAACAGGGCAGGAGAGAAGCGTGGACCCACCAGCAGGGAGAGATTCCGAGGCATCGACAACTGCGAGCTGAGAGAGCGTCGCTCCGCTCTGCGGGGCGGGGGGAGTAGCGTAGCCTCGGGACGTCGACGCCGGGGGACGGGGACGTGGTCAGTGTGTCGCGCCGAGGTGTGGTGGGCCAGAACCGGCGGCGCGACACAACATAGCTGCGAACGGGACCGTGAAAACAACCCTGGCGGCTCCCCTTGGAGGTGCTGAAACCATCGCCCCGCCGGAGACATCCCGACAATCTGCTGTGTGTTGAGTAAGTCAGACAACGAGAAGGTCTGAGTACGAGTAGGTCTGAGTAGGAGTAAGCCTGTGTATTATAACTACGTTTGGGAACGAGTCAGAGTATGAGTAAGTCTGGGTATGAGTGAGTCTCAGCATGAGTAAGCCCGAGTATGAGTGAGTCTAAGTATGAGTAGGTCGGAGTATTAGTAAGTTTGTGTATGAGTAAGTCTGGGTATGAGTATATCTGAGCATGGATAATTCCAAGTGGGAGGAAACGAGCTGTACCACAAACAATGTACACGAGTACGAGTGGGAGTGGGTATGACTATGACTGGGCATGGATTTGAGCGGGTGTAAAAGCTTACTGTGCCATGAAGAAGTCTGAGTATGAGTAGGTCTGTGTATGAGTAAGTCTGGGTATGAGGAGGATGAGGAGGAGGAGGACGAGAAGAAGAGGATGAAGGAGTAGGAGGCGTCCAAGTAATAACAAGAACCCCATCTTAGGATGTGGGGAATGAGAAAGCGATCACCTGTCCTTCGTACTTGTTGTCACGGCGCGAGCACGTCTGGGCGCCTCCGCCTCCGACCAAAGGTCCCCTCGGCCCTGCCGCGGGCGGCCGCGCGGTCCCGGTCGCGGTCGCCTCCTCCGCGATCCCGGTCCTCCTGGCCCCGAGGGGCGGTGGGCGGGGGCGTCGAGGGACGCGGGGTCGAGGAGGGGCAGGGCGAGAACTGCATCGACGAGGATCGAGGATGGGGATCGAGGGGGACCGAAAAGAATCGGGGGGAGGGCGATCGAGGAGGGAGGGAGTAGGAGTATGAGCACGCCCACTTGACAGCGTCAGAACATGCCGACATCACGTGACGAAGTACACATGAGGGCAGATTGCAAACGACCTCTACTACGGGTCGAGGAGGGGGGAGGATCGAATAGGATGAGGATTTGTACCTTCGGCGTTTCTTCTGGGGGGCGGTGGCCGCGTTGGCGCGCGACGACCCGCGCTTGGGAGAAGGGGACGCTTTGCAGCGACGCGGCAGGCAGGAGGAGGTTCGAAGAGGTCGAGGCTTGGGCGCCTGTGGGTGTTTTGTTTGCTTGGGCACTCCCCTGAGGTCTGAGTGAACAAACATACCACATCGTGAATCAAATCACGGCGGGAGCCCCAGACCCTGTCTTTGTGCACCATTTTTCGGGCCAGATGGTCGCGAGGTCCGAAACTGGGCGAGAACGCTCAGCTCGGGAAAATCGAGCGCCAGGATCTCAGGGTCGGGCAGTGGACGGAGCGGCCAATCTGGTTGTATGCCCTCTCCGAGACTGAGCGGTGGCAGGGCAGGCCCAAGCTCCACCTGGCTCGTGCAGCCTCGGCCTCAAAAACCGCGCTCGCGCGCTCGCCAGCCTTGCGCCGAGGGCAGAGGCCGCGATCGGTTCAAACAGACACCCTCCCAACTCATGTCGTGAAAATCACGAGAGGAAAGATTTGGGGTACTTTTCGGCCTCCAGGGGCCTTCGCTGGGCCACGGAACCGTAAACAACGGCTCGGGGTTCAAAACCAGCCCTGGGGAAAGGGTTGGGACCTCAAGGGACCGCGCACTGCAAAAATCAAGACATCGCATGTCTGGACAAACAAGGCTCCTGTACGGTAGGTTCGTGCGGCGTCGGCGCGCGCACAGGCTTTCGACACCGCGTCGATCGTTCAATATTAAATCGATCGCGTCCACGATCGTTCGAGGTTGAATTCAATCGGGTGCAGTGACGTCACCATGCCCAACGGTGCTGCCACGTCGCAGAATTCGACATTGAACGCCTTCGCAGGCGTCGCCAGCCCGCCAACGCTGCATGAACCTACCGTACGTAACCCCTAAAGGTCTTCAGAATCCCAACCCCCAATAGTGGAAACAAACTACCTTTTCGACGCCATTCTTGACCGACTGGGGTCCCACCACTAATGTAAACTAATTCCTTCTCCGCGGCACCCGCCGCGCAACAACGAGGCGAGGGGGGAGGAGGAAGAGAGCAGGAGGAGGAGGAGGAGGAGGAGGAGGAGGACGAGGACGAGGACGAGGACGAGGGGGAAGAGGAGGACGAGGAGGAGGAGGAGGAGGAGGAGGAGGAGGAGGAGGAGAAAGGGAAGAAAGAGAGGAGAAGGAGGAGGAGGAGGAGGAGGAGCAGGAGCACGAGCAGGACCAGGAGGAAGAGGAGGGACGAGATTTCTTCCCCGTCTCGATTGTTTGCGAGTAGGCACTTTGCGAGTAGTCATACGCGCTCGGTGATAAAAGAGCCAGAGCTTCATCTCAGCTCTGCGGGGGGAGGGAGGTGCCAGGGTGGCTCTGCCTGGGAAGGGGGGAGAGGGGGGGGGGCGTGTACTAAATTCCCCCCCCTGGGGGGACCCATTTCGTTATTGATTTGCCCATCCCGAACGTGTGGGGGAGCGTCCCAAAGATCCACCCAGATCTAGCCACGACCACCCCTGGAACCGCGGGACACTTTTCTGGGCCCGAGTCTGCCTCATTGTCCTCGGCCCCTCCTTTCCCCTCCTCCTCCTCCTCAGTCTTCCCCTGGTCCTTCTGCTCCTCCCGCTCCTACCCCCCACCCAACGTCCCTCGCTCCCCCCCTCGACTCCCCCCCCCCCTCGCTCCCTCCTCTCCCTCTTCACTCTCTTCCTTCTCGCCGCGCGGCGCAGAATGCGGCGCTGCCTCGCAAACGCCCCGGCGCGGGTGGCTACAGACCCAGCTACGCAGACTGCCACGGCCCAGCCCTCACACGTTTCGTGGCCACACAGGGAGCTCCACCGAAAGCCCCAACGGCAAGGTCCGCGTGGCGGCCCCGCATCCGATCCGGCACACCCCTCACACGTTCCGTGGCCCCATCAAGAGCTCCACCGAAGGCCCCAACGGCAAGGTCCGCATGGCGTCCCCGCACCCGATTCGGCACCCCCCCCGTACGTTTCGTGGCCCCATAGGGAGAGCTCCACTGCAGGCCTCAGCGGCAGGGTCCGCATGGCGGCCCCGCACCCGATTCGGCACACCCCTCACACGCTTCGTGGCCCCACAGAGAGCTCCAACGAAGGCCCCAACGACAGGGTCCGCATGGCCCCGCACACGACTCGGCACACCCCTCATACGTTTCGTGGCCCCATAGGGACCTCCACCAAAGACGGTTGTCACAGCTGCGGTACTCACAACTGCACATGGCAGGGTCCTTCCCCAGGATAATTCGTCCCAGGCCGATTTCTGACGGTCCTGGCCAAACATCAAAAACAAACCCCTCATCCTCGAGCCTCGATCCTCGGGTCGCCGCCGCGTCGACGCGGCGCGAACCTACCGTACCCACTTCGACTGCACCAAGCCCCTGGGGGAGCCGACTCTGACGGCCTCCGAGGGGCAGGATCACTCAGCTCCGAATCGGGAAGACGGATCGAATCAGGACGTGCCTCAAATCGCGATGTGCCTCGGCACGGAGCGTCGGAGTCGAACCGGGCAAGCCGACGCCAGGATGCACACCAGCGTCATGTGCAGGCATCGGGTCGCATCGGACCGCCAGAATATCTTGGCATAAATGGGCAGCGGATTCTGGGGCCTTCCTCCAAGACCAGCTTTTCGTCGTGAGTCGTTTTTGTTGCGGTCATGGGGCCCGTGGAAGACCCCAGGAAACTGAAAACGGCCCAAAGCCTCCGGTAGCATTCCCTCAGCAGGACCCGCTTCCTTCAGCTCAGACTGGCTCGGGCAGAATCTGAGGGGCAACGATCGGGGGGAGTGGCACCCGGGGGGGGGGACACGCACAATGTAAGGCTCGTAGCTCGGGTCTCCGGCGGTCGTGTAGGACGACCTGGGCATCCCTGGACGCCTCTCGGCGAGGCGCAGCTCCTGGAAGGCATCCCGAGGCTGGGAAAACCGACGAGAAGTGAGGAAGACACTCGAAAACCTTGAACCGAGGGCGCCCGGCACGGCGTCGGCTCCTGCCACGCGCCCGGCGACCGCCCCCCGCCCGCGCTCTGGGAGCTGCCGGTGTACAGGGTCTGCGGCGGCGTTTCGCGCTTCCCGGGCGCTCGCCGAACTGCGCGCGACCGGATCTCGTGTGAAGATCTAAGGCTTAGGCCACGCCACTTCCCAGACCTCCAGCGAAATGGCCGATTCCGGAAACCCTAAACTCAAACGTGTTGTCATCTGTAGGAGGTGTTTTGTATGTTTCTGACGCCTTCCGCCAGCCTTCCGCAGGCTTCCCCGCTGGCGGCGGCCTCGTTTTACTTCCGCCGCCTTTCGCCGCCCTTCCGCCGAGGAAGAGATGACGAAGGCAAGGCTCTCTTTGGAACGCCTCGTATGATTTCTTCGATCGGACAAATTGTCCTTCGTCTCGGCCTCCAGGGGCCTTTTTCGGGCCCTGTGGCCTAAAAAAAATATCCCGGCAAAGCAACCTAACAGCGATGTGTAGAAGCATATCTGAAAGCATTCCCCTTAAGATTCAGATGAAAATCCAGTTGTAGAGTTCTGCTGTTCTCGCAGTCGTAGTCGCATTCGCGACAGCTCTCTTTTGAGACCACTAGAAACCTATCAGCAAGAGCTGTTAGGTAACAAGTCCGGGCCGCAGAACTACCCACAGGGAAGCGGCCGGGACGCCTGGGGGCGCCGCTTGAAAAAAAAATAGGGTCGGCGGATAGCTGGGCCACGTAGCCTCACAAATCTCGGCGGCCAGCGAGGGGGGGAACCGAGAAGGGGCGGGCCTTCTCAGAAGGCTCGGAAGTCTCCCGGCCCTCTGAGAAGTGCGCAGCCTTCCCCGAAGGCACAGAAAGATAACGCCTCGCCGCCTTCTGAGAAGGCCCTCTCCTTCTCGCTTCCCGCCCTTGCTCGCCGCCGAAAACCGCGTCCCGCGGCGCGCGACGCGTGGTCACCTTTGCGCCACTCCGCCCTCGCACAGCCACCGCGCAGGAGGCGGCTGGCTTGGCCCAAACCGCGGCGCACAGGGCGCGGTGATCTGCGCGCCCCCGCAGGTGATCGAACTGGAGGACGAAGGATGCGCGGTGAGGACGGGAAGCAGTTGGGCGGCAAAACAGAGCATGGAGGACCCTGCCGTTCCTGGATGGGCTGGAGGATGGAGGATGGAGCACTTGGGCACCACAACCGAGCCAGAAGGTGGGTCGTGGTCCGTGGGCCGGGAAGGGTCGAGAGGCGAGGCCAGGGTGCACTAGAGCCCGTGGAAAGCTGGTCCGTATGATGCGGCTTGACTGTCAGACGAGGGCAGGATGAGGATTCATTCGGATCGGGATGAATCGGGGATCTCTGCGAGCCAGAGGGTCCGGAGGACGTATCCAGCGCCGCGGCCGTTCCAGAGAGCCGCGGGGCGCCCTAAGAGCGTTCTGGAGCGCTCCGGCGGCGTCGCGTCAGGAGCGGAACATGAGCCTCGAGAGAGCGCATCGCGCGAGCTTTCGTGACACGAGGGCCAACTCGCGAACTACTGGGGAGCATATCCATGTAACGAGCTCGGGATCGCCCGCCAAACATCCGCCGGTGACAAAGAAATTCATGATTTCGGACGTTTCGCTGGGTTCCCGAAGGTTTTCTAGCGTCGGGGTACTTTCCAGCAGCTGCGCCTCGCCGAGATCGTCCCGGGAAGGTCCCGAATCGTCCCGAACGGCCGCCGAAGGCCCCTTTACTCCGAAAGCCACTCGACCAAGCCGCGGGTCGCGGTCACACCTGGGGGGAAGGCGAGGCGAGGCGAGCGCGCGGTCCCGCTGGCGGGGCCCTTTAGGGACTGCATCGGGGGGGCTGGGCCCTCAATGCATGTTGGGCTTGTTTGCCGAGTTCGGGGTGCTGAGTTCTGAGCTGGTGGACGCTGAAGGTGGATGGGTGCAGGTGGAAGTGGAGAGTCAGAAGGCGGATGCTGAAGTCGGAGTGCTGGGTACGGAAAATCAGGTCAACCAAATTCGCGGCGCGATGCGCGGCGACCAATCATTTTCGCGCACTCGCGGGGCAACCTTGTGAAACGAGATGATCGTCGCGCCCCTGAGGGCGATCTGGATGCAAACAATCGTAGGATCAGTCAGCATCGAATCGGGAAATCGGACCAGATCGGGACTTGCGCCGGATCGGGCTGCATCGGATTGGAACCGAAACTCAGATCAGATCGACTGCGCCTGGACGCACGACTATACGACTATACGCTGTGCGAGCAACACTGGGTCGCAGATCGGTGGCGAGCAAGGGGGTGAGTGAGAAGGAGAAGGCTTCCTCGGAAGGTGGCGGGACTTCTCAGAAGCCATTTCCTGCGTCTCTGGGGAAGGCTTAGAAAACTTCTGAAGCCAGGAGACTTCCGAGCCTTCTGAGACGGCCCGCCCCTTCTAACTTTCCCCCGGGCTCGCCGCCGAGCATAGGATCGTCACGAACTCGAAATCGAATCGGATGAGGAGGAGGAGGAGGCGGAAGAGGAGAAGGAGGAGGAGGAGAGGGATGATGATGATGATGATGATGATGATGATGATGATGCTGATGATGCTGATGCTGATGATGATGCTGATGATGATGCTGATGATGATGCTGATGATGATGCTGATGATGATGATAATGATGATGATGGTGGTGGTGGTGATGGTGGTGGTGGTGGTGGTGGTGGGGGTGATGCTGATGCTGGTGCTGGTGCTGATGCTGATGATGATGATGATGATGATGATGAGGAGGAGGAGAAGGAGGAGGAGGAGGAGGAGGATAGGGAGGATTAGGAGGAGGGGGAGGAGGAGGAGGAGGAGGAGGAGGAGAAGGATCGAGAAGGGTGAGCTCGACGTCGAATCGGATCCAACGAGTCGACGAGGGCCCTGCATCTCCGCCCACATCTGAGAGGCCTCGGCTCCGGTGGCTGGCCTCGGGTGCCGGCTCCGTCGGCCTTCGCAGCACCCATCCGCACCCAGCAGGAGGGGGGAGGGGAAAACGCTGTTGAAGGCGAGCGAGGGGGGGGAGTGAGAAGAAGGCCTTCTCAGAAGGCGGCGGGACTTCTCAGAAGCCCCTTGCGCTTATCATTGCACCGGCCTTGCAGACGTGCTGCAGCGGATTTCTGCGTGGATTTCTGCCCGAAACGGCGAGCGAAAAACGAAGTGAATTTCGCGTGGATTCTTCTTGATCTTTCTTCCTGACCCAAAAATATCCGCACGAAATCCGGAGCGAAATTCTCCAGGACACTCCGGGCCCACCCTATCGTTTTCCGAACGAAATCCGCTCTGCGATGTTGCCGCCATGACGCTCAAAGGGCCTTGGAAACGACAGGGCAATTTTTGTTACCGGTTCCGGTTTGCCATTTGCGGTGCCGGTTCCGACGCCGTTGCCTGTCCAATCGCTTTTTTTACAGTTTCCGGCTCCGGTTCCAATCCTAGAGCCGTTTTTTTGCAGTTTCCGGTCGCCGCTTCCATTTTCAAAAGACACTTTTTCAGAATCGGTGACAAAACAGCCCTGCCGTTTCCAGGGCTCACTAAGCCCTCGCGCCTTCTCAAACATTTTCTGCGTCTCTGGGGAAGGCTTAGAAAACTTCTCAAAAGGCCGAGAGACTTTGAGTCTTCTGAGAAAGCCCGCCTCTTCTCACTTCCCCCCCCCTGGGCTCGCGGGTCGGGGATCTGCTAACCCGGGTCAACCAGACCCAGGTCAGCAGGAAACCAAAAAACTGAAATGCAGAACAAAAAAACTGCAACGCTGTGCTTCGCCCTGGGTTAGCCAATATGCGCGGCCGCCTCGCGGCCACGAGCGGCTAGCTAACCCGGGTCAGCCAGAAGGGGCCTTCGCAAGATCCTGCAGGATCCGGTGCCCTGGCTGACCCCCGTTTGCATTGATCCCGTCTATTCAGCTTCGAGCGGGCCTTCTCAGAAGCCCTCTGGCCTTCTGAAAAGCTGTCTGTGTCTTCGGGGAAGGCTTAGAAAATTGCTCAGAAGGGCCCCTTCTCACTTCCAACCCGGGCTCGCCGCCAACATTGAGGAGAGCTTGACTGGTCTGACCTAGTCGGGGCTGAGACGGGTCTGACGCCTGTGAACATGGGCACGTCTTTGCTCCAAGCCCTGCAATATTGCTTCAGTCCTCCCAGCTCGGTCCAATTCATCATCTGCCACCACGTGTCTGCCGTGTCGGGCTCGCCCCCTCTTGCCCCGTGAGTTCATAACAGGGCCGATGAGAGGAGTACAGTCATCGGGTCACTGGATCTATGGAACGGCCCGAAAACCCGAGCCCCTCCTGGGCTCAAAGTGGTCCTTGCCTCTGCGTGTTGGCTTCAGGAGCGAGATCACGCAACCCCGCGGCGCGCGCGACGATTCCCGCCGAGCGATCCCGCGGAGGATGCCCGACGTCGGTGGGCTGCACCAGCACACGGTCATCGCAAGGCGGCACAGGCCACGAAGAAACCCAGAAGCCTGCAGGCGTCTGAGTGACAGGATCGCGCCAAGCTGCACGCGTATATACATATAGTTGGTTTTCATGCTGCTCGATTTTCATATGTTACACACATACAGATATATTATATATCGTGTATGTGTACATTATACATTGATACAGGTTGTATATCATAGATATACACAGAGAGAGCGGGTGAGAGAGTTAGAGAGAGAGGGAGAAACGATCGCACGGATTCTTTGATCGGCGCTGGACCCTCGTCCTTGACGCGGGAATCCGCGCCAGGAGCGGCGCCGGAGGCGCCACCAGGGAGGCCGAGCGCAGATTCTCGAGAAACATCCGCGTGGAGCTCCGAAGGAGCATATTTGTGCCGCTGGGTCTTCCTCGACCGGGCGCGCCATGCTCGCGTCAACAGGTGAGCGTGGTTTTATTCGGCGTTTCGACATTGGGCGGAAAAGGAGAGGGGAGGGGGGTTTGGCGCCAGACCTCTGCTTAATGCGGCTGTTTGCAGCAGTGCATCCTCTGGGGGAGAGGCTCCACCTGCTCGAAACACGCGCCAAAAAACACCCACGATCTACTCCATGGCGGGGGAGGGGGGGATGCGAGGGCCCGCGCCGATCGGCGAAACAAGGAATAAAAAACGATCACCAGATTGGGCCTGTCTAGGCTGGCACGCTGCAGCTCGACGTCGACGCCGCACCCAGACGGCCACCGACATCGGGGCGAGGCCCTCCACCGCTGTGCGGCTCCCGCCCCGCCTGCACAGGTGACGTGTTGTAGTTGCTCAGGTCAAGGATCAGCTTCTCCCCGCGGAGGGAGACCTGTACTCTGACCGCACATACACATTCACACCCATAGACATACAACAAGAGGGAGGGATAGAGCGAGAGTGAGGGAGAGAGAGAGAGGTAGAGAGAGAAGGAAGAAGAGCAAACAAAAACGTACGAACAAACAAGCAGACACAAAAACCACAACACCAGCAACCACAACAACAGTCACTGTACGACTGTTCGCTCTTTCTTGCTCGCGTGGCATCCAACATGTATGTCCCAAACCCTCGGAACCCGCCCTGTTGGTTTTCGATCGCACCCCCCCTGGCAGCATGTCTTCATTGTCTGCCACATGTGTAGTCGGCGCAGCCCCGAAAGCAGGGAAAAGGATGTAGGAGGTAAGAGACAATGGGGCGGGAAACTGATGAGCAAAACAAATACCCCACATCCCTTGGGAGGAAACCTCAGTTAGGAGGGCTAAAGACATTAGGGATAGTGGGTCTGTCTTGCAAATGTCTCAGGCGAAGCCACCCACATGTTTGGGGATCACCCCTAAAACGCTATGAGCTAAGTTAGACCACGAGTTCATTGTGTAAATCAGGGATGAGGTTGTACTATGCTTACCCATCGGTCGGAAGGCGTGGGTAGAAACATGAAGTACGAAGGCGTTGGAAGTAGATTAGGTCCCCGCCCGCTTCAAGATGAAGGGAAAGGAAAACATATCGTTACTTGAGGTAGGAAGGCGCCTAAAGTAGATTGGGATTTGGGAATCCAAACATATCCACATTCAACGACCGATGGGGAATTGGAAACTGTTGAGCACGAGACAGACTAGCAGGAGGGGGGTTAGGAGCAGGAAAGCAAGCGACATAATCAGCCGGGCGGGTCGGGCAGGCGGACCCCGACGGGCGGGTCGGGAGGGCGCGCCCAGATGGCCGCGTCGAGCGGGCGGGTCGCTGAGGCGTCAGTCCCGCATGAATCGCGAGGCAGTCTCGAGCGATAGCGCGATTCCCATGCAAGTCTCGAGGAAGGCCCGAGCGAGAGCGTGGTTCCTGAGTGTCGAGGGCGCGGCGTCTGAATAGACTGCAAGGAAGTCCCACGCGAGAGAGCGTTTCCTTGATACATTGTGAGGCAATCCCGTGCGAGAGCGCAATTTCGATTCAATTGTCGAAAGAAATATAAGACGGTAATCGCTGTTGTTATGAACCGGGGGCCTGCACCGCAACCTGAGCCTCAAGACGTTCCATTGTGAAAAACAGAGTGCGAGCCCCGAAGGGGCACTTTAATTCAAAAACCCATGTTCTGCGCAGAGGGGATAAACAAGAAGTGCTTTTAGAAATGCGATTCCAGCAGCCCAAATAAGGCAGATGGGGAGGGAGACGTTCGAAAGGTGATGCTGCAGCGTCGGTGTAGTGGGCATGGGGCATCGGGGACTGAACCAGGGAGATAAGCGCCTCGATCATCAGACCAGAGATGCAAATTACTCGCACCGCCTTCTGAGAACGAGAACAACTGCTCAAGAGCATCACCAACTTCGCGCATCGCGCCCCGCGGCGCGCGCTGCGTGGCTTCGCACTCTCGCAAGGCTAATTACCTCGGAGAAGGGCAAGGCCGCAACGCGCGAAGCGCGATTCTTTTCCCTCCCCTGAGGCTGATCACCAGAAGAGCAGTAAACTGAATAAAACAAACTTTCTGGAAGTCCGCGCGGATTTCTGAGGCCGGCGCTGATCCCTGATACGGGGAGTGCGCCGGGGACGGCGGCAGAATCGCCGCCAGGAGTGTCCAGCGCCGACCCAAGGAGTGGAAGGCTCAGAGGTGAGGTATCTTCACGACCCTGCGGGTTGCGGCGCGTTCGCGGCGACGCTGGGGTTGATTTCTGGCACCGCGCAGATCTTTCAGCTTTGAACGATCACGGCTCCCCGACTGCGCAGGATCGCTCGGCATCGGTCGATCCTGGGCCACCGGCGGCGTTCAATCATGAACGCCCACGCTGGGGTCGCCGACCGTCAACACGGCGCGACCCTAATTACTTGTCGCCAGGGTTCTGCAGAAGCACACCGTCGGCGCCGCGAGCAGGGCGCGTCCTCGTTGTTGCGTTCCCCCCCCCCCGATCCTACCCTGGCCTCGTCCCTCCACAACGCTGCTCTTCACCTCCTCGCTTCACGACGCCAGGCATCGTCGGACGAGCGCAGATGGACAGGCGGTGGAGCAGGCGAAGGAAAGCCAATCCCCACAACACGCGGATGCCCTTTTGCTATTGGTGGTGAACTCACACCGCTCCCTTTTGCTGTAGGATGTTGCACGGGTGCCTGAGTGATGGTGCGAATCATGAAGATGTTGAGTGGCAAGGATGGCGACGACGATGGGGGCACTGAGGTGGCAAATCGGCGACGGACCAAAGCGAACGCCATGCGCCATGCGCTACGGGCCGACGCACGACGGTGGGAAAAACGCGAGAAGTCCCCAGAGCGATTTCTCATAATGCTCGTGCTGTGGATCACGGCAAGCACACGAAACCGATGACAAGGAAGTAGCTGCGCAAGCATCATAACAAACACAAGCTCTGCCAGACTGCAATTTACGCCTGTGATACTACACTGGTCAAGGAGTCGGAATTGGGATACTAAAGCAGTTGAATAGGATCTCTCAAGGAGATGCAAGCGAACCGCCTAGGCAAGATTGGCTGGATCTCCTAAATTACACTGTCAACCGGGAGGTCCGAAGATGCAGGCTGGAACCCCAGGCACTTGCACTCCTCAAAGCGTCCTTGTCCGTGCCTGTGTTTCATCGTCCGCGCAACCATAAACATGCGAGCGGCAGAGTGGACGTCACGGGCAAGTGAAGTAATTGCATCCCCGCCTGCGCTGGACGCGCGCGCACACACACGCGCGTGCGCGCACACCGCCATGAAGCAGGCGAGCACGGGAGCGACATTCTTCATCATATTTCTGCATGAGCTCGCAATCACGGTCTTGAAACTTACCTTTAAACTAAGGCTGATGATGTGCGAGAGAAGAACTTATCCATCACAACCGCCTTGGGGATCGACATTCGGGACCTCGGCAGGCGGCGGATACACGTGAATTTGCCTCAACACCACCTCACCGCCTGCCGAGGTCCCCGAAAATCGATCCCCCAGACGGTGGATGCGGATGAACCCCCGCCTCGGATGATGGTGAGCGGTGACTTTGGTGAGAGAGTAACACACGCACTCAAATGTATGGGGAGGAGGAGTGGGGAAGGGTATGGCGATGATGGCGCTATAGGGATTGGTACGAGCTGTCGGACCCCGAAAGAGTCGCTCGTGCGAGCGGGGACACCCATCCGACAACACGCACCATAGCCGCGACGGGTTTCCACCCCAGGAAATCTGGGAATGCGACTGCTATGAGAGCGGAGACAATTACAATGACGAGGCGAATGGTGATTGCCGATTGACAATTGAAGACGACGACGACGACGACGACGATGACGGGGACCACGACGACGACGATGACGACGACGACGTCGACATTGATGACGATGACGTTGATGAAGACGTTGACGACAACGACGACGACGACGAGGAAGACGACGACGCCGACAACGACGAGGACGACGACGACGACGATCACGGCGAGTCGGGACGACGTCGCTGATGCAAGCATTGACGACGACGGCAATGACGAAGGCGCCGACGATGATGACGAGGATGGTCATGCTGATGGTGGTGTGATGATGACGATGGTGATTATGATGCTGGTGTAGATGATGAGGCTCATTTTGTGATGAGCACCACGGATTGGGAGGGCGCCGTCGCAGCCCACTGACCATCAGCGGTCGCCCCTCCGGCCCAAGTCCACGAGGAGGCGCCAAAACGCTGCTCGCCCGAGGCGTGCTGGGACTGCGGGAGCGTATGTACACCTGTCGCTCCGAACGCAGCAAGCCCGCCTTCTCTAATGGGCCGAGTTCCCACCACCACTACCATAGGTAAGACGGGGAATCAGGGAGGATGGGGAGGTCCTCCTCCTCTTCCTCCTCCGTCTCCTACAACCCAACCCGCTGGATTAAAAAATGGAGACCATAATTAGGGATCGAGGACGACACGGCTGGCCTCCCGTCAGGCCACGGGGCCCCAGGAAAATGTTGGACTCGGGGCCGAGTCGGGAAGTTCAGATGCACCTCTCACCCCCTTCAATATTATAACGGCCAAATAGGGTCAGCGTCTGAACATGTGAATCCGCCTGAGACTTCCGCCAACAAAAAATTCAGATCGCCTTCAAGGGCGATCTGAAAATTAGCCGTGGCATCTGAAAATGGCGATTTTGCGTCGGACTTCCGCAGAAAAAATCAGATCCATCTTCATGCCGCTTGGGAGCGGCGATATCGCCTGATAATTCCTCGCAGGGTATTTCCCGACCGCTTTTCACACCGCCAGAGAATGGCGATTTCGATTGGGCTGTCCTAACAACCGCGCGTCTGGTCCACCCCTGCGTCGACGTTCCCCCGTTCGGGTCACGACTCTGTCTGGGAGTTACTCGGGATCGATCGAAGGTCGAAGCTTGCGTTTTTTTCCGACTGGCGAAGACCAGGGGTTGTTCCCTGCCATCGTGCCGATCACCACTTTGTAATCCAGGAGGTGGTGCCTATGGAAATGGTGGAAAAGCCGATCGCCATGCTCCAGCACCACACGCGGCACTGAAGACGAAGCCAGGACAGGGTCAAAATCGGACCTGCATAAATCGGGGATCTTCGGGATCTGGTGGTCTGGGAGCATGTGTCGGGCGCCCCCGGACGGAGATCCGACGACGTGAGAAATCACGAACCTGACCCGTCGGCCCCGCATGGCTGCCCCGGCGCTCGAGAGGGGATCGATCCGTCAGACCCTCGAGTGCGACGCCGGGAGCGATTCTGAGGGGCCTCGGCAGGCGGTGGGCCTGGATATCGATAGACTTGGCCCGCAAGGGCACGAATCTGCACGTGTCCGACGCCTGCCGGGGTCCCGGAAGATCGATCCCCCGAGGAGTGGCCATGAGTAGATGAGGGGCAACGTTAGAAGGGGATTGGCCCTTGGGGGCAGACGTGCAGCTGGAATCGGCGATACGTCGCCCATACGTCGGCAATAGGCGCACCGAGGGCAAATTCGCAGGTTCCTGAGCCGGGTGGGGGCACCTGGGTCACCGGCGGCGATGCATGGGCGACTGGACGTCGACGCGTTCTCCCCTGGTGAACGTTTCTTCTTCGGAGTTTCGGCTTTAGGCGGAAGGGGAGGAGGGAGGGGTCTGGCTCCAGACCTCTGCTTATTGCGACTGTTTGGAACCGTGCGTTCTATGGGGGAGACTCTACTTGCTTGAAACAGGCGCCTAAAACAGCCAATATGAACTCCATGGTTGGGGGGGTGTGAGAGGGCCCGTGCCGATCGGCAAAACAATGAATAAGCAAACCACGACCTGAGCCTATCTCCTCTGCGACGCTGCGACTCATGTTCGGGAACACGCCCGGCATACATGTAGACTGTGAGAGATTCGCGCTGATTTCTTGGACGCGGCGCGCGGAGGAGCGGCGCCGGAGGCGCCGCAAGGGGGGGTGCCAGCACAGTAGTAGTAGTAGTAGTAGTAGTAGTAGTAGTAGTAGTAGTAGTAGTAGTAGTAGTAGTAGTAGTAGTAGTAGTAGTAGTAGTAGTAGTAGTAGTAGTAGTAGTAGTAGTAGTAGTAGTAGTAGTAGTAGTAGTAGTAGTAGTAGTAGTAGTAGTAGTAGTAGTAGTAGTAGTAGTAGTAGTAGTAGTAGTAGTAGTAGTAGTAGTAGTAGTAGTAGTAGTAGTAGTAGTAGGAGTAGGAGTAGGAGTAGGAGTAGGAGTAGGAGTAGTAGTAGTAGTAGTAGTAGTAGTAGTAGTAGTAGTAGTAGTAGTAGTAGTAGAGGTAGTAGTAGTAGTAGTAGTAGTAGTAGTAGTTAGAGTAGTAGTAGTAGGTAGTAGTTAGTTTAGTAGTAGTAGTAGTAATAGTAGTTGTAGTAGTAGTTAGTAAGTAGTAGTAGTAGTTAGTAGTAGTCGTTCGTCGTCGTAGTAGAGTCGTATGTAGTGTAGTAGTATAGTAGTAGTAGTAGTAGTAGTAGTAGGGTCACCAGTCGTCTATGCAGTAGTAGTAGTAGTGTAGTAGAATTAGTAGTAGGAGGAAGAGTAGGAGGGAGTAGGAGGAGTAGGAGGAGTAGGAGTAGGAGTAGGAGTAGGAGTAGGAGTAGGAGTAGGAGTAGGAGTAGTAGGTAGTAGGAGTAGGTAGTAGTAGTAGTAGTAGTAGTAGTAGTAGTAGTAGTAGTAGTAGTAGTAGTAGTAGTAGTAGTAGTAGTAGTTAGTAGTAGCAGTAGCAGTAGCAGTAGTAGTAGTAGTAGTAGTAGTAGTAGTAGGTAGTAGGTAGTAGGTTAGTAGGTGTAGGAGGAGGTAGAGGTAGTAGGTAGTAGTAGTAGGTATTAGGTCGTATAGTAGGTCGTAGATAGTGGGTAGTAGGTAGTAGGTCGTAGGTTAGTAGGTAGTAGGTAGTAGGTAGCAGGTAGTAGGTAGTAGGTAGTAGGTAGTAGGTCGTAGATAGTGGGTAGTAGGTAGTAGGTAGTAGGTAGTAGGTAGTAGGTAGTAGGGAGTAGGGAGTAGAGAGTAGGTAGTAGGTAGTAGGTAGTAGGTAGTAGGTAGTAGGTTGTAGGTAGTAAGTAGTAGGTAGTAGGTAGTAGGTAGTAGGTAGTAGGTAGTAGGTAGTAGGTAATAGGTAGTAGTAGTAGTGGTAGTAGTAGTAGTAGTAGTAGTAGTAGTAGTAGGTAGTAGTAGTAGGAGGTAGTAGTATAGGTAGTAGTAGTAGTAGTAGTAGTAGTAGTAGTAGTAGTAGTAGTAGTAGTAGATGTAGTAGTAGTAGTAGTAGCAGTAGGTTGTAAGAGTGGCAGTAGTAATAGCAGAAGTAGTAGAAGTCGTAGTAATGGTAGTAAGAGTAGTAGAAGCAGTAGTAGTAGTAGTAGTAGTAGTAGTAGTAGTAGTAGTAGTAGTAGTAGTAGTAGTAGTAGTAGTAGTAGTAGTAGTAGTAGTAGTAGTATTCTTACAAGAAACAATAGTAGTAGTAGTCGTAGTAGTTGCAGTAGTAGTAGTAGTAGCAGTAGTAGTAGTAGTCGTAGTAGTAGTAACAGTGGCAGCAGCAGTAGTAATAGTAGTAGCAGCAGCACTAGCAGCGCCAGCAGCAGTGGCAGCATCAGTAGTAGCAGTAGTAGTAGTAGTAGTAGTAGTAGCAGCAGCCGTAGTAATGGTAGTAATACTAAGTATAAAAGAGATCAGTGCTAAAGGTTGATGTAGTGGCAGTGCTGGTGGTGCACGCAGGATGTCAAAATAGGTATGTGGGGTTCCTCGGTAATGTAATTGCTCGTGGCCCCCTTGTGTCGCTCGCGTGGCTCCTTTGGGCTTCACGTTCCAGCTTGGAGGACCAACCAACAAGCCAGTCCCGACTCGCGAGATCGGGGGAACAAACAGCAGACAGGCGTCGTCGTCGTCGTCAGCGTCGTCGTTGTCGTCAGCGTCGTCGTCGTCGCCCGAGGTTTATCACCCTCCTCTGACCTACGTGTACCGGGCGCAGCTCTCGCGCTCCGCCCGTCGTCGCGTCGTCGTCATATTCGTCATGTCGTGATGGGAGCACCATCTTCCTTCTGAAGACAGGTATGTCGTCCTCCTCGCCCTCAGACGACGAGCTCCGCCGCGGGCTCGCCCTCGCCCCCGCCGCACGCGGCCGGGGGGTCCGCCTCGCAGCAGCGGCAGGTCTTCCTGCGGAGCAAGGGCGCGCCAACTCTCCCCACCTGCTCTTGCTCCTGCTCCTGTTCCTGCTCCTCCTGCTCCTCCTGCTCCTCCACCTCGTCCTCCTGATTCCTCCTCCTCCTGCTCCTCCTCCTCCTCCACCTCCTACACCTGCCTCCTGACTCCCAATGGCATGAGAACCCGCTGAGTGCTGCCACGTCCCCCCCTTCCCCCAGGGCGGTCGCCCGTAGGGGGGGGAGTCAAACGAGGGTGCCTGGCGAAGTCCTCCCCCTCCTCCTCCTTATCCTGCTTCATACTCCTCCTCCTCCTGCTGCTCCTCCCCCCCCTCCTCCTCCCGATTCCTGGCTCTCTAATGGCATGTCTGATTCCCCCACCCAGGAACGGTCGCCCCTAGGGGGGGGGGGGGGGTCAAACGAGGGGGACTGGCGAAGCCCTCCTCCTCCTCCTCCTCCTCCTCCTCCTCCTCCTCCTCCTCCCTCATCCTCTTCCTCCAACTCCTCCTCCTCCCATGCTGTCGGCCTCCAGGGGCCAACTTTCGGGCCGCGGGAACGCCATCAAACCGACCCAGGGCGAGGGCGGGATCGGCCGCCATAGAATCCGGAAATCGGATCGAATCGGAACGTGCATCGAGCTGGGCCGCATCGGCATATACGTCGGTCGGGAGACGCAGGTAGAAGCATAAAGCAGGAAGGCGGATGAAGTAGATTGGGTACAGGCCCTCCTAGAAAGTAACACAGCATAGCAAAAACAGATCGCTCCTTTAAGTAGGAAGGCGCTTGAAGTATACTGGGACATGGGAACCCAGCAATACCTACCTTCAACGACCGATGGGTACGGTCGAAATCGACTAGTATCGGCCGCGCCAAGATGCGCGTGGGCGCCATGCGGGCCACGTCGGATCGCCCGAACGTCGGACGCGGATCGGGCCGAGCCGGC